TTGAACTAATAAAGTGCCAGGGGCCTAAGTGGTCACCTCAATATTAAAAAAAAAAAAAAAAAAAAAAAAAAAAAATTATTACGATTTTCAAATATAATTTGAAAAGAAAATTTTTAAATGTTATTAGATTGAATTTTCATATATGTAACCAAGTTTGCTAATTTCCAACTTCACCAACAGTTCATTTCACCGACAATTAACTTACTGACAAGTTCATTTCACCTACAATTTTTTCACTAACAGTTTATTTCATCAACAAGTATTTTTTATAAACTGCACTAGCCTTAACTTTAATTCTAACCCTAATTATATTGATCCAAATTACTTTATCTGTAAAATAATCTTCAGTAAATAAACTGTCGGTGAAATGAACCTGTCAGTTAGTAATTGTCAATGAAATGGAGTGTCTATGAAGTGATTTTTGGTGAGTTGATCGGATCTCTATATAAACAGCTTTATCTATTAAACCTCAGATAACAAAATAACAAAGCTGATGAAAGCAAGAATCTAATGAAAAAAAGTGATGAACTAAAAAAGATGGCAATTGACAAAAGGCATGAAATTGACAAATGTGTGAATCTGACAAAAGCTAGCAAAATTAATGTATTCAAAATATGTACCATGTTTATACTATAATAGAACCGATACATGCAGGCTATAAGATTTGTCTCATGAGTTAAAGTGTTTATTTGTGCAAGATAAAATGAGGCTTATAGAACAGAATTTGGAAATAAAGTCAGTTATCCTTTAAGGCTCATTGTATAATGAAATCATATATTTATCTAGATTTGGCTTTTTTAAATCACGAAATTTAGGTAAATCGAAATTGAAGATAAGTAAAGCCACATACACCAGATACAAATATTTTGCAATGGCTTTTTCAAGCAATACAGCCACAAGAAATAAACTTGGCAAATAGTAAAAAAAATTAAAACCCTTTCGCTATGAACTTTAACGATCAATAATTATCTAAAAAAAGAAAAGTCAACAAAATTTAGGAGGTAAAAATAGAAAACACACATGGAAATGCTTATAATAATAGAAAAAATAAATATAAATTGATAATAATTTTGCAATCGGTAATTTTTTTTTATCTAGTATATAGAAACCTAATTTTGCTAAAATCATGTAAAACAAAAACAAAGCCTTGCCCTAAGCAAAAAGCCTCAACCAAAGCACTAAGTTGAGTCTTTAGTAGATAAATAATCAGTTATTATCTATAACACGATTGATAACTGATAAAGTATTATAATTTCTGTAATTGGCTTTTAAAAACCTAAGTATACAAGCGAGTCAAATAAATTAAGATGCTAATTGCTTATTTACCAATTTATAATTATTGTAATCGCTTTTTTAAAACCTAAATATATGTACAAGTCAATAAACATCATCATTAAATATAAATAAAAAGCCTCATTAATGATTTATCAATGGGTTAAATATCTAAAATTATAAAGATAATTTTATTATTTTTATTGATAACTTTATCAAAAACAAATTTTCAGTAATTTTTTAGCGAAAGAAGTAGGAATTCACTATTATTATAAGGTTTTAATAATCTGGGTCTTTTTTTTAGCAGGAGCACCAAGGTGATTGATAACTTTATCAAAACCAAATTTTTAGTAATTTTTTAGCAAGAGAAGCAGGAATTCACTATTATTTTAAGGTTTTAACAATCTGGGTCTTTTTTTTAGCAGGAGCACCAAGGTGATTGATAACTTTATCAAAAACAAATTTTCAGTAATTTTTTAGCGAGAGAAGTAGGGATTCACTATTATTATAAGGTTTTAGCAATTCAGGGTTTTTTTTTAGCAGGAGCACCAAGGTTTTTTTTAGTGGTAGCACTAGAGTTTTGTCATTTTGAATTTGGCTTAAAGAATTTGAGGTTTGTCTTTTATTAGAGATTTTGTCATTTTGGGCTTAGCCTAAAGACATTCAATTAATCAGTTTATATTTAGCATTAGATAATACTTTGCTTTTGGCATATACAAAGATTTATATTAATTTATATTTTAAATTGGGTATTTAAATTGTCTATGTTAATTGAATTGATTTTTTAATTAAACAATTCAAAAAATATATACTTTAACTTTTGTAGCATTATTTTTTTTTTAAAAAAAATAAGTAAATCTTATTCTAATGAAAATCTTCAAGATTATATCTCTCAAGATGAAAATTCTCAAGATGAAAATTTTCAAGCTAGAAATTCTTAAGCCGAAAATTCTCAAGTTGAAATTTCTTAGGCTGAAAATTCTCAAGCCAAGAATTTACAAGAATCGGTTCAAAAAAAAACTTCTGGGTGGCCACTTGCAGGAGTTTGGAATTTTTTTAACAAAGGTTCTTCTATAAAAGGCTATTGTTTAGGAACATGTAAAGAATGTGGATCATTTTGGGCACATGCTAAATCTGTGGATTTAGAAGAGCATTTAGCTCTAGATTGTCCTACTCAAAATAAGGATGTTATAGATTTTTATACTCAAATTATTGCTAATCGACAAGGTCATAGCCAAGCAGCATCTCAGGAAAATATACCTGGTGCTAAACCAAATAAAAAAAAGTGCAAACTAACAAGTAATCAAGCAACATTATCTGAGTTTTTAGAAAGCACTAAACTAACTCCACAACATGAATGTAATATTAATACAGCTTTAATTAAAGCATTTATTATATGTAATATACCTTTTTATATTATTAGCAATCCATATTTTATTGATGCATTGCAAGAATTATGGCCTGAATATCAACCACTATCAAGACAATTACTTGCAGGTCGATTATTAAATGCTGAAATCATTAAAGTTAATCAAAGTATTAAAAATACTTTAAAAAAAGCAAGCAACTTAACTCTTGGTATAATTTATATATTATTTAATTTATAAATTTATTATATAATTATTTATATAACTTATATTATTATTTTAAAATAGGTTTAGATGGATGGACAAATCCATGTGGAAAATCATTATGGAACTTTGTAATTCATACATCTTCAGGACGAGAATATCTTTGGAAATTAGTTGATTTATCTAACCAAAGCCATACAGGTGAAACATTGCAAGATTGTATTCAACAAATATTTGATGAACTTGGAGTATATAAATTTGGAGCTATAGTAACTGATAGTGGTTCGAATTGTACAGTTGCATGACGATTAATTTCTGAACAATATTCACATATTTTAAATTTGCGATGCGTTGTACACTGTATAAATCTAATTTCTAATGATATTTTAAAGCATCAATTTGCTAAAAAAATTCTTTATCAATGCTCTATAATTGTTAACTTTTTTAATTCATCACACCAGTTATATTTTTTAATTATAAATAAAAATGTATATAGTGGTGGATTAAAAAAATATACTAAAACTCGCTGGACTAGTGCATATGAATGTGTATATTCAGTATATCGTCATAAAATATCTTTAGAAGAGGTAAATATATTTTAATAATATAATTTTTAATATTTTAATAACTCTAATACAGTAAATATATTAAAGATTTTAGAT